GCATTACATTGGCCTAGGACGCAGAGGCCTAATGGTTAGTGCGCTAGACTCTGATGAGTAAGGCGCTGCAATCTGATGGTTAGTGCCCTTGACTCTGATGAGTAGTGCGCTAGACTCTAATGAGTAGTGCGCTAGACTCTGATGGTTAGTGCGCTAGACTCTGATGGTTAGTGCGGTAGACTCTGATGGTTAGTGCGTTAGACTCTGATGAGTAGTGCGCTGCACTCTGATGGTTAGTGCGCTAGACTCTAATGAGTAGTGCGCTGGACTCTGATGGTTAGTGCGCTAGACTCTGAGGAGTAGTGCGCTAGACTCTATTGAGTAGTGCGCTAGACTCTAATGAGTAGTGCGCTAGACTCTTGTGGATAGTGCGCTGGACTCTGCTGGTTAGTGCGCTAGACTCTGATGAGTAGTGCGCTAGACTCTAATGAGTAGTGCGCTAGACTTAAATGAGTAGTGCGCTAGACTCTGATGAGTAGTGCGCCGGATTCTGATGGTTAGTGCGCTGGACTCTGGGTTGAGTGGTCTGGGTTTGAGACCTAGCCTTGTCGTTGTGTTATGTTCTTCGGAAAGACACTTAACTCGCACAGTGCCTCTCCACCCAGGAGTGAACATGGGTCCCAGTGAATGGTCAGGGAAGTCTGGTGAAATGCTATGGGGGGGGTGGGGGGAGAACTTTGGGATGGAAAGGCATCCATTCAAGGCGGAGTGCTTATACCCCTCTTCACTTCATACAACATGGAAACCAGTATAAGCTCCAGCTGATGGTCAAATAAAAATTCACCCATCGAATCAAATAAAAATCATCATGGCAAATAGGCTCAAGAACACACTTCACCGCGGGAGGGGGGGAGGTGCTCAAATAAAAATCATCATGTCATAACCAAAACCCTTCCACCTCCCTCCCCTCCCCCGAAGGAGATAAATATGACCGGTCCCTACTAGCTACACATCTTGCTTGCTAAGCAAAAACTTTTTTGAGCATCGCTGTACATGCAAATTCCTTAGTACAATCAACCCAAGACCAGTTTTGATTTAGAAGAACACTTAGGTGTTTTTACGTCTTCGGAAGAATTTGCTCCACAGCAACATTTAGATTTGCATTCCTCGTAGGCTGAGTTCCTGGTCACATTCTGGCACGACTCGCATAAGTTACTTTGAAAAGCTTTGTTGAGCTGGGGGATAAAAAAATATGATAGGATCGCTAATATGACAATCACAACTTTCCTTTATTAAAATAAAACTTATAACCCATCCATTAGTTTTTGCGAGACTCTATTTGTTGGTAACTTGACGTAAGTAAGTAAGTAAGGACTTTATTTATAGAGGGGGACACGTAACAGCTGAAAAGCTGACAAACCTGTGGCCCTCTAACTAGATTATACAGCATTACAAAAAACTGATAAATAAATAAATATATAAATAATTACAAAATTCTATGATAGAAATAGTCACGTCACATGGTACAAAATCACCAGACAGTTATCACCATATAACCCCCATCACGTAAATGTTTACCTTTGTCACAGAACTTTTCAGATCTAAAAGAACATTGCTTGTACTGTTCTGTATAGCCTGTACCTAGTTAGAGCACAAGCGAAGACTTTCAAGTTTAAGAGAGAATTGCATAATTGAAAAAAAACTCGCATTCTGACTGGTTAACGAGGCGAGGTATTTAGCGTTCAATTGGGAGTTGAAAACGAGGCTAAGCGATACTGTTTCGCATCTCTGGTTTCGCACTGAGAGTAACAAAAACGACTGCTGTCTTCTTTTTTTCCTATTTTTATCCAATGCGGACTTCAATGTCTTATTCAAAGGCAATTGGAGGTATTTGAGCTGAAATTAAGAAATTCGATTGGATGGAAAGGAATTGAATGCATGTATAACAAATCCTGTGTGGTTTATCTAGATGAACATTAATTGGATGGGTCTCTTAATGCAAACCAATACTTTGCTTAATTATTTCCAGTGGTGTATCTAATGAGCAAGGTAGGTCCCTAGATCTCGCCTTTGTAAGACTTTTCTTAAGTCAATAAACCTCAGGTTTGCGGTAATTCGTGAATTCGAAGAGTCTATATGGCATTAACTTGTTCCTGTTAACAGAAAATCGGCCATACAGGTATTGTTAACTTGATTCAATTTACACCACGGTAATTTAATGATATGTTGGGCAGGAAGGACGACCCAGTGAACAACGTGAACAGTCTTTATTTCTAAACTCGAGCACGAGGAGCTCGCTCTTAGTACCTACAACGTGATGCCCGTAGCCCGTATGTAGTTTTCCTCAGAGGGGGCCTAAGTACGGGCTACGGGCCAACAGATACACCAAGTACCGCAGAAACTCGCCCAACACGCACCTACTTAGACATTCTCATTCTAAGCGATGTTGTGATGGCTCTAAAAACAAAAACGAAAACTGCAACTAATCATACCTTTCAGGATGATATAAACTTGACTTTTAGCATGAGCGTAAAGGCGTTAGAGGCGCATGAGCCCTTAATTGCCAGTTGCTTGTCTCCAGTCTCCTTAGCAGGAAAAGACAAGATTGGCGAGTATGTCTCCTGAAGAGCATTTTTTTTATTTTACCTTTACGAAATATTTCACAAATGCCTGGGAAGATAGTCGTGAAAGCTTACTCGTCCGCAGAACTGACGCTTTCTTATGTATCAATTTACTTTTTTCTTTTAGATTTTCGCAATTCGCAGAGTAAATAAATTGCCTCACATTTTCTGTCTTGTTCCCATCTCATAAATATATGAAAAATAAACTTGCTGAAATTGCTGAGGTCAGTCATGATCAGGATCATTCTAATGAATTCTGAGTTCGATGTGAGAAGAGCCTTTTAAAGAGCCAAGAGGGTAATGTCTTGAACATGGAAAAAGCGTGGATGGCGGCGTCTTTATTAAAGTACCTACGGTGTTCACGGTAAAGTTATCAGTGAGATCTTTACCTTTGTTACAGTACCGTTCAAATCGGTAAAGTTGTTCTTTGTTCCATCTACTGCAGCCTTCATATCGTTCAAATCAGACTTGAAGTTTTCAATCTAACATATGAAGATAAAGATACAAAGCGTAACTTCGTTCAGCATTACAGAGTTTTAAAGCTGACGTTTCCAGCGTTATCCCTTCGTCTTTCGCCCTGACGAAGGGCCATGAAACGTCAGCTTTGATTCTCTTAACAGTTGCCAGTTTACAATATCAACTCAGTTGATAAAACCAAAATTACCATGTTACTCCAACTAATGCCTTACCACAGTTTCTTTAGAAACTCATCCCCTTTATTCGTTCAGGATTGTTCGCTTTTTTTTTAATTTTTATTCAGTCAGAAGTTTACAGTTTCAATAGTTTCCGGTCATCATTCTCATCCTTGGTATTAGAAAAAATCTACGAGCGTCCTCAGCGTTCTATCGCAAATGCAGTCATCTGATTGGCTGCGCCACAAGCTATTTACTCCGTGAAAAATGAGTGAAATTAACAGTAAGTTAACTGGAAAAGCGTGAGAAAAAATGCTGTTCAAATCAAAAGAGGTTTTCACCAAATCAAAGAGCGAGAAATCCTACTTGAAAAGTCTAAGTTTAGTCATTGTAACCCTTAAACATAGGAAATTGATTATTATCAAGACATTTCTAGTATCCATTAAGTAAGAAACAGTAAAATCTTTACCGTTGATACAGTCCCATCCAATTTTGCGGTCAGGTCGCTCTTTGTTCAATCAATTGCAGCCCTCAGAGAGTTCAAATCAGAGTTGATGCTTTTAACCTAACATGAAGGTAAAGATACAAAGCAAAGCTTCGCTCAGCGTATTTTTTTTTGTTTTAGGTGAAAGCTTACACTCCGTTAGGGATGGTGAATAAAATGAGTAGCCCTAAGTGTGAACCACTTGTATTATTGTTCAGTTACTAAAGCAATTTCATTATTGACATGCAAAAGAGAGCCTGTCCTGTTTAACTTTTGCACCAATAGCAAAGTATGAGCCCACTAATGGGAAAAGCAGCGGTATAAGCCACCTGACGGAAATTCCTAACTCAGACCTCTCCTCATCCCACC